CCCCCCCCCCCGGCCAACCGGCCACCACGATCTATCCCGGTCTCTTGCCCCCAATAGCCACAAGGGCACACACGGACGCTTTCAGCACATGAGATGATCTCCTGCTGTGCCGCCCTCCCTGTGTCCGCCGGGCCCTCTCCACCCATCACACATGGCGAGCGCTGTCAAGGCGGGGGGGGGGGGGGGATACATTCTCGCCACGGCCCGCCAGGAGGTGACCCTGCCGCGGCAGATGCCAGACAGGCGGCCGACCTTCGCCAGGAAGCCCCGGCCAACGGTCCGCCATCCAAGTGCCTTCAGTCTGCGAGGGTGTGTCAGTACCATGCCAGAGCCCGGCGACATTCATGCGCGGATGCCCACCCGGGCCGGCGGCCCACGTACCCTGAATGGTGCTCATGGGGAGCGATTCTACGTCACCCAGCAGCGCCGCGCGGCCATGGCCCATGTCCAGGTCAGTCCCCCTCACGACGCTCTTCCGATCTATCCAAGGGCCTTCAGTCTGCGCGGGGGTGTCAGTACCATGCCGGGGCCAGGCGACATTCGTGCGGATGCCCACCCGGGCCGGCGGCCCACGTACCCTGAATGGTGCTCATGGGGAGCGATTCTACGTCACCCAGCAGCGCCGCGCGGCCATGGCCCATGTCCAGGTCAGTCCCCCTTCGGCTCAAGTGGCTTCGGCACCACCAATGGCCCCAGCCCCCCGCCCGCCCGCGCTCCCATGGACGCACCCTTGCCGGAGGACGACTTGCGCCCGCGCAGGAGGACAAAGGCCACCACGCCGGCCACGGCCACCAGGGCCAGTACGCCCAGGCCCACGCCCAGGCCCACGGCTGGCGTCCGGCATGTGTGTCAGTATCAAAGCCGGTCACCCGCCTTCCGGAGCGAGATCGGAAGAGCGTCGTGGCCGGAGGACGACTTGCGCCCGCGCAGGAGGACAAAGGCCACCACGCCGGCCACGGCCACCAGGGCCAGTACGCCCAGGCCCACGCCCAGGCCCACGGCTGGCGTCCGGCATGTGTGTCAGTATCAAAGCCGGTCACCCGCCTTCCGGAGCGTGGCCGGGAAAAAAAAAACAAAAAAAAACCCCACCACCACCACACATGGCCGGCCCCCTGTTGGGACACACGTACCCAGGCGCTGGGAGGCCTTCTTATCACCGGCCCCTGGGCCGGTGCAATTCTGCGACTCCTGTCCGGTGCACTCGTCGGCACACTCCTCCGAGCAGGGCAAGCACTGCTGGGTCCTCGGTTCGGCAAAGGTCCTCGCCGGACAAGTAGCCGTGCACCGCTGGCCGCCGTCCACCTTGAAGAACGAGGGCGCGCATGACAAGCACCGGCTTTTCAGGTCGCAGCTCAGCGACCCATCCTCCGGCGACACCGAGCAGGACACCTCTTCGGAAAGGAGCTCGCACACGTCACACCACTCCATGCAAGCGTGGCACACCTTCATGGCGTCCGTGCCGTGTCCATCGCCCCCGGGGACCCTGTGATACCCGACAGAGGGGCACTCCTCCACACAGGTCCCGGTCTCGGGCCACAGCCAACGCCGTGGATCGCCGCAGGATGTACACCAGTCGGCCTGGCCGAAGCAAGTCCGACAATCGCCCTGGCACTCGGTGCAACGCCCGGTATCTGGGTCCAAGGCCACGGCCGTCGGCGAGCAGGTCTCCAAGCAGGCCCCGGTGGATGGGTGGAGGAACAGCGAATCCTGGCACCGGTTGCAGGCGGCCTGACAGTGGCCCGGCCCGGTCGACTGCCCGACGCACTCGGCACAGCCGGGCTCACAGTCATGGCAGGCAAGCTGCCCGGCACAGCTGACCGTCGAGGGCGGACACTCCTCCAGACACACGCCGGAGTGGATGAACCACCCGGATGCACATTCGGTGCAGGTGTCCTCGTTCGTGCAACGATCGCACTGGGCCCCGCAAGGCCGGCACCGTGCCCCCTCCCAGGACATGTCCAAGGCCGGGAATTGCCCCGTCGGACAGGTCGACACACAGGTGCCAGCCAGGGTGAGGGATGTGAAATGCCCGCAAGCCGTGCACTGGTCGGCCCCGGCGCCGGCGCACGTCTTGCACGATTCGTGGCAGGCGACGCACGTGCCCCCCGACTCGTAGAAGCCCTCCGGGCACGAGGCCCAGCAGTCGCCCTGCCAATGGACGGGGAGGTCCTCCTGGCAGGCGACACATTGGCCATCCCCCTCGCCATAGCACGCGGCGCATCCCGGCTTGCAGCGCATGCACTCGGCCCCGATGGCCGTGGTCCCGTTCGGGCACGCCAAGACACAGGCCCCGATGGACTTGTCCAAAAACCAGCCGTCCTCGCACTTCCGGCACACCATGCGGTTCCCAGCCCCCGGGGCATCGTCAGGCCAGCAGGCCGCGCAGCTGTCCTCGCAGGGCAGGCACTTCCGGTCGGCCGTGCGCCCGGTGCCCTTCGGGCACATGGTCACGCATGTGAACTCCGCCTGGCTGTGGTCCTCCTCGCCGGCCGACAGGCGGAAGGCCATCGGGCTGCAGTCGCCGATGCACTGGCTGTCCGCCGGCCCGGTGCACTGGCCACACGAAGGGTGACATGCATGGCATTCGCCGCCGACCCGGTAGAAGCCCGTGCCGCAGGCTTCCACGCACTGGCGGTTCCTGATCGGGCGCTGGGAATTGCACGACAAGCATTGGGTCGCGCCGGGACCGAAGCACGTCCGGCAGTTGGAATGGCACGCCGCGCATTGGGACGAGCTCGACCCCGACGGCAAGTAGCTGCCCACCGGGCAATCCGACACACAGGTGCCCGCGCCATTGCCGCCTGGCTCCAAGCGCCATCCCGACACGCAGGTGAGGCAGCTGTCCGGCCCGGGCCCGGTGCACGACTCGCACGACGGGTGGCAGTGGATATAGCGCTTGGAAGCCGGGTCATGCCACGACGGCAGGTTGTTGGATGAAGTGCACATGTTCACGTCGGTCAGACCGACGTTCGCCGTGCAAGAGTGACACTTGGGCGGGTAGTCCGGGCCCGTGCAGGTGGTGCAACGTGGGCCGCATTCGTAGCAGAAGAATGTCTGTCGCGGACCCGGCGGCGTGGGAGACGGGTTCTCCGACTTCCAGCCATACCCTGCCCCGCATGTGTAGCACGATTGTTGGTAGTTGATGCAGTCGCGGCAGCCCGCGAGATCTACACTCTTTCCTGGGCGGGCGCTCTTCCGAGCTGCAGGTGGTGCAACGTGGGCCGCATTCGTAGCAGAAGAATGTCTGTCGCGGACCCGGCGGCGTGGGAGACGGGTTCTCCGACTTCCAGCCATACCCTGCCCCGCATGTGTAGCACGATTGTTGGTAGTTGATGCAGTCGCGGCAGCCCGCCCTGCAGGGGGCACACCGTGCCTGAGTGCCGAAAGCCTGGCCGAAGGGGCAGTTGGCCGTGCACAGGCTTCCAATGGTCGGGTCCGGGGAAAGGAACCCCAGCCCCGGGCGGCAGGCAAAGCACGACGTGGCATCGTCGCACGAGGAGCATGACGGGTGGCATGGCTGGCAGTTGCCCTCGGTGTCGGCGAATAGATCGGAAGAGCACACGTCCGAAGGGGCAGTTGGCCGTGCACAGGCTTCCAATGGTCGGGTCCGGGGAAAGGAACCCCAGCCCCGGGCGGCAGGCAAAGCACGACGTGGCATCGTCGCACGAGGAGCATGACGGGTGGCATGGCTGGCAGTTGCCCTCGGTGTCGGCGAATTGTCCGGTCGCGCAGTCGGCCGCATTGGCCACCGGCGTGGCCATGGCCGCCAGAGCCGCAAAGATGAGCAGCACCAGCATCAAGGCCCCGGCCGGGGCGCGTGCCGATGCTCCGTATCGCATGGTGGATATCCCGGGAGGCAGGGGGGTTCGGGTGGGGGGGGGGACGGGGGAGGGAAGGGGAGGGTCAAGGGAGAAGAATGACTCAGGGAGTGGGGATGGCTGAGCGCTCGGAGCGGCCTCCTCCCAAGCGGCAGCCTCAAATAGGCTTGCGGCTGGGGCCACCGGAGAGGCGCGCAGGGGCAATGGTCGCACCTGCTTTCCGCC